TGGAAAGTCCAAAGTCCTCCCCGCTCCATCTTGGTCTAGGAAGGTGGACATCCAAACTGGCTAGGCTCCCACAAAGCCAGAACATGAAGTAGGATCAAAACCCAGTGGCATTGTCCTTGGCTTCTCAGCAGCCCTCATTGTCCGCCATATTCAGAGAGTTCGGTTTTATCCCATGGTTAGCAAAAATGTTCTTAATCACAAAAGGCTTCAACAGATACCCACAAAAAATATTTTTTGATAGAAAGTCACCTGAATTCTAGTACACAGCATCTCTGGACGACTCTACCGTCCTTTCAACCTCTCAAGAGAAAGTCAATTACTTTTAAGCTTATTTACTCTTATTTGACAAGCATCGGTGTTTCGTCTGAATGTACATCTATGTGAGGGTGTTGGATCCTCTGGAACTGGCCTTACAGACAGCTGTGAACTGCCAGGTGGGTGCTGGGAATTGAACCCAGGTTCTCTGGAAAAGCAGCCAGTGCTCCTAACCTCTGAGCCATCTCCCCAGCTGAGAAAGCCAATTATTTACTATCACATAACAACTCCTTATTCTGGCACAACAGTCTCGAGTATGGAGTTCTTCGAATTATCATGGTCCTCACACATCTTTTGAAGTCAACAGGATTTTACAGAAGAGAATATAAATGATTGGAAGACTAAGGGACTTGCCCAGCTCCTCTAGTTACAGACACAGCCCAGATTTCAAACCAGACTTTGAGTCCAATACTCTCCGCATTACCACAAGTTTCTGCTTTGATTATAATATTTTAAGCATTAGTAGTTGCAATCCTTACAATGACAGAGAAATTTACTATTTGCAGGGTTTTTTCTTCAAGCATCCTTCACTCATTCCATGAACCAATAATCACCTGATCCTCTTAGGGCAAGGATAGTCTCGGGATAGGACTTACATATACGTAGACCACACTGTGTTCTCAGAATACATGAATCCAATAGAACCACAGTGGCCATGCAGAAACTCACCAGGCAGCAGAATAAAGTCCCCTGCTTACATGGCTGGTATGTGACAGCCCAGGGCTCCCTGCCCAGTCTGCTTGAGCAGTGCCAACTGTGGAATTCCGCAGTCTTGACACTCGAGGTCTCTGTCTTGCATTTGACTGACACGTGGGCTAGGTTCTTAGAAGGCAACACAGACACTCCAGAAACCCCAACTCAAGACTGCGTCAAGTGAGGATTCAGACTTAATAACCATCCTTTCATCTCAGCAGAACAGCCGTGCAGCCCTTTGGCTTTTACAGACAAAAGATAAACGGCAGCCACCAGCCCGGTGCCCCTCGGTGCAAAGAGCCACAAAGAGCGTTCGGTTGGGAGTGGAGAGGTGCCGTGCCTGTAGTGATTCTGACACCAACTGGCTGTGTGATCTTCACCAACTCAGCCTTCCTCGGCCTCAGTTACCCTCTTCCTGTAATAGGAGAGGCTATTTGCCAAGATTCCTTTGCAGAGCTATTAGGGTAACAAGAATTCAGAATGGCCGTGAAGACTTTGGGGGAAAAAAAAGGACAGAGAGAGAGAATTTGCATAAAGTAGAGTGCATGGATGGGGATTAAAATCCTCACTGTTTTATTTTTAGTGTGTGACATGCCACCAAAGTTCAAATGACCAGGCATTCACAATGAGAGGAGACCGAGGCCCTGCTCCGTGATCTGACTTGGCCTTCGTATGATGCTCAGATCCTCTACAGCTCTGAGTTCTAGACTGAATGTCCACACTCCTGTCAGCCCACATACCTTCTTGGAGGGACAGGAACCCTTTCCTGCTCCCAAGGACTTTTCCTGCCTTGCTCCACAGCCTTTGAAAACCACAGCTACCACACACCAAGCACGCTATAATCTGTCACCCTGTGAACACCCATCAAATTCTTCTAGGGGGTGGGGGCAATCTGTGGGTCAAACAGGCCAAGTTCAGAAATTCCCAGTCACACTGTTTTAGGGCTGAACTTGTTTCTTAAAAGGCAGTTCTAATTAGAGTGACATTTTGTCCACTGTGGTTCTTAGTTATGAAAATAATGAGCTATGAAATTCCAATTTATTGTTGACAACTTAAACGGCCAGGCACCGGAGCGGCGCATAACTTCCGAGTGCCACTCTGCCCAGTGACAAATCTATTCTGGTCCACGGGAGTCTGCTGACCTGACTTTAGAAGGATCCCTGTCCACCTCGGTCTCCACGGGAGATGTAGAGGGCTCTGGGGCTCTAGAACATGAGACCCAGTCATTCGGGTGTCTGAGAAAGGCTCTCAGCAGCTTGAAGTGTTCAAACAGTGAACAAATGTCAGCTCAGCAAAGATGTCTCAGGAAAAACAAAGGAAGGGCCTCCCCTCTCTTCCCCCTCCCACCCCCCACAAAGAAGCATCTTACATAGAAGGTAGGGACCATTCGGCTCCAAAAGTGAGACTAGCGACTTCTAAAACAGCTTTCTCTCACCCTCTTTTCTTGTACGTTTTCTATTCTTTCCTCCCTTTGTCTTCTCTCTTCCTTCCATCTCCCTGAATGCTACTGCCTTTTGCTGCACCCTCTCCCATCTTCCCCTAACCCACCATCTAACATGGCCACCAGGCTGCTTTCCTAGGCTCCTTCCTGAACTCAGGCTGGAAGTCATTTGCTGGATGAGTGTTTAACAGAAGTGGGTTGAGCCCTCGTCCCCCATGGCTGATATGACCCACGCTGGGCAGGAAGAAGATGAATAAACACAGGGATAGGTGGCTCTAATGGAACTGCCAGCTTCCTGTCCCTGAGACATCTTCCTTTGGGCTTAATCAAGCTCCCCAATGTGGTTATTCCTACTATTATTAACAGTGTTGATTGACACTGTTGGAACAATTTTAAATTCCAGCAGACAGAACAGAAAGTCATGATGTAACTGAGAAAACTTGGAAAATACTTCAAAATGCTCATGATTGACAGTCAGGTGTCAATAGTTGAACCATAATGCAAGCTCCAGGACAAAGACGAGGATCACTGACCCCAGGGAGCAAAATAGCAAGAAAGCCCTGAAGAGCTAACCTGAGAATGTGCCTGTCTACCCGGGAAGACCTAGAACAATGTCACATGCCCAGGACATTAGAAAACAAAAACAAACAAACAACAACAACAGCAACAAAACAACTATCAATATGTTTTGGGGTTATGGAGAGAGACAGAGTTCCAGAGCCATTTAGGCCCCCATCCAACCCAAGTGCTAAGTTGGCCAGACATATGCCAGTCAGTCCTAGAAAGGTTTATTTCCTCATCTTGAAATCTTCCTGTATCATGCTGAGGCTGGCAAAAAAGAAAGAAAGGAAGAAAGAAATAAAGGAAAAAGAAAAATAAACATGAGGCTAACTATCTGCACAGTCCTTTGAGAGGACTGACATTGTAAGTATTTTGCTTGCAGCAAATTGCTGGGTCAAGTGGCAACTTTCAAATGTCAGATTTGAGAGTTAGTGTTTGCTGCTGTTTTGTCTAATTTAATGTGTACTTAGGATGCCTGTCACTACAAAAAAAGAAACAAAACACACAGAAAGAAAACCCTACAGCAACTTGAGAAGGCTGATGATACAACTGAAGATGATGACTGGATTTTAAATATTGAGTGCTCTCTGAAAACATTCAAAAAGAAAATAGTGAGGGCGAGCAATAGAGCTCAGTGGTAGACAATCACTTAGCATGTACACAGCCCTGCACCAAAAGAGAAAAAGGAAAATAAGGAAAGAAACAATCAGCTGTGGTTGTATAAAATAATTTTTGCCCCCAACCCCAGCCATTCCCTTGACCCCAGGCTTGCTTAAGAGGTTTGGAAGAAATTCCCAAGAGCCTCTGACTTTTGGGTTCCTTAAAATAATCCACCAGACTTTTGAGAAACATATTGCTCCTCCTGACAAAGTCACCCTATTCCACATGTCACTGAAAACAGGGGGTCCCACAGCTTCTTTGATTAGGAGGATCTCAATAGATGTTGCAAACTCTCGAGTACTGAGTGTGGAGAGCAAAATGCTGCCGTGTCTCACTGTCGACACTGGCACCTTGAGCAGCTGCGGACTGTCTCTTAGATCTTTCTTAAAACATTGAGGGAAGTCTGGAGCCCATCCTTTACCTGCCAAGAATTTTGCTGACACAACCATGGCTGACCCGGAGCTGCCTGGAGATGTCGCAGGGCCTGACACCTTGATGGGCAAGTTCCACTATCCTTTGGCGGACTACATCTGGGAGTGGCCGTCCATTCACAAAAACCCCCCCAAGCTGATTCACTCCTCCATGTCCTGAAACAGATCAGAAACAAAGGCAAGGGGAAGGGTGGTTAGAACCAGTCACATAGTAGAAGTGCCCTTCTCAGCACCCAGAGCCCTCTGGTCACAAATGCTGGCAGGCTAAATGTCTTGCACCCGGAGTCCAATCATGCAGATGACATGAGGACCCTTAGGTTGCTTTTTAACACCGGTCTTAGCTTTTGTTCATCTGCAGGCAGTCAACAGAGCCACTGGTAGCTCCCCACACTGTTTTTTTTTTTTTCTTTTAGTTACTAGCATTTTCCTCTTCATTTGCGGGAATCGGTAAGGGAATGTGTAAAAGAAATCTATATGAAAGGAGCATGGTTTACTACACAATGCTGAATTTGAGGGAGATCCTGGGGAGAAAATTATATCTTAGGATAATCAAATTTAAAGAGGAAAAGAAAATAATGGAATCCATTTTCTTTTTAACAAATGTCTTCGAAGTGAAACAGGCTGTTCTAAGATCTACCTATCGAGGGGGAAAGTGTTTTTGCATCAGGAACCTAATTCAAGAACTGAAGACTTTCTTTTTAATGACCAGCATCTTCAGATCACAGAGACAAAACCTAACCGCTGCCTTAATTTAAAAATAGGAAAGAAAAATTTAAAGCCTTCCTTTAAGACGGTGAGGTTGACGCGCAGGCCTGACCGTTGTACCCTCTCAGAGCACACAAAAGAAATGAGTCACAGGCTCTTCTGCACACGGCACACTCCACTGAACCAGGATTTGTTAGAAAGGTGTGCCCCTGGAATTTTGGGCAAGTTTTGCAATTTGCAAGCAGGTTAAAGTTGGTTAGGCGGAAATAAAGCAACTGAGCACCAGATTTTTACGAGTGCCATAGAATGTATTTTAAGTAAAAGGAGTCAGAGAAAGCCCCTTTTCCGCTCTGATGTTCCAACTGGTAATCACCTCCAGCTGAAAGGAAGCAGGATCTGAGTAAACTAAATGGACTGATACAATGCAGAGTCGTTGGCCCTTATAGCTTTGAAGCACGTTAACTTGCATTGCTGAAGATTGAAAACTGAAGCTAAGTTAGAGAATTATCCTGATGCTGTTGACAACTCAGAGGCCAAGGAGGGGAAACCACCTAGCCTAGGACAGGCTGAACTCTAGAAGAGAAGTCAAGGCACCTTCAAGGTCACACACATCCACCCCCCAACTTTAAAACAGAGAAACAACACCCACAGTTCGGCTACCACCACCCTATCCCAGTCCAAGACTGATCTACAAGCAGGCCCATGAACATCTGAAATTGAGGGATAAAACACTCCTAAAACAACCTTTATCCTTAAAAGTATCTAACAAATTCACAAATGAGTTTCCCAAACCTCCAAGTTCAGGCTATTTCCAAGAAAACCACATTTTTTAAAAGGTAATTTACATCACTTAGTGCCAAACTACACTGGATTTTCCTCTGATTGTCAAAATGTACCTTTAGGGAATTTTGATTGTTCTGAAACATTGCACACAGGAGAAGAAAAAATAGGAAGAGAGAAAATTTTCCTGAACAGAGTTTTATAGCTAGGACAGAACTGCATAGTTTACTTAAACAGAAAGATTTCAGCAACCCTGAGCAAGAGCTTTGTTCTGGGACAGAGATCATCTAAGGGGGAAAAGGGTGGACCAATTTTTCCAGAAGAGGCTGGATCTAAGTAAAAGAAAGCATATCCATAATTGGTGTGTGTTCATTGGGAGGACACATGTCAAGGAAAGGCAGCTGAAAGACACAGCGCACATTTGCTATGATCTAAGGATCCAGGCATTGCAGCCAATCTGCGATCATTGTTTACTAAACCACTAACAATTGAGACTTGCTGCCCAATACACGGTGGCAGCCTTCAGAGCACTTCAATGCCAAGAGCAGTTCTGTAGGGAATCTGTAGGTTTTTACCATAAGAAAACAAAAACAAAAACAAACAAATGCCAAGAGTTTCCTGGAGTCTGGTCTTCCTAAATCACAGTAGACTCCCCAAACTACCTCCCTTTGGCCACAAGGAATACTAAGGAATTTGCAGACTCCAAGGCAAGTGCCTCCAGCTGACATGGACTAGACATAGGTGACTCTTACTTTTCTTAACTTTCTGGACAGGCCCCAGAACCTATTGGTCCTCTTGCCTCATTCATGAATCTAGCCAACAGAGCACTTTAAAACAGGCCTCAGGAAAGGTGCTAATCTAGGATTGGTAAGAAAGGAAGTCCAGATTAAGAGGGAGAGTGGAGGTGGGACAGGGAAAGAGAGGTATGTGCACAGGATATAGATGCTATAGACTCTCTATACTCCCTCTACCATAGAGAGGAGGGCCGAATGAGACCATGAGACCGAAGGCAAAGAAGGGAAGGCGAAATAGGGCACAGAGACTAGATTAGGCAGGCAGAGGGAGTGGGGGAAGGAATGGAAAAGTCTAAATAGACTAACAAATGGAAGGGGATCTCTAGAGGTCAGGTCTCTATGGGTGGGGGTATGTTTCCTCTCCCTCCCTCTCAGGTCTTTCTCCAGCTTTGTATCTCCTCAAAGACTGAAGTCCCAAGTTCTACCATGGGTTCCAGCTAGGTGAGGGCTCATCTGTCAGGAGGGCACAGGGCCAAGACATGAACTCGGCTATCATTCCTAAGAGGAACAGAATTTAGAGACTGGCACAGAAACAAATGCAAACAAGTTAGGGATAAACTGGGAAACACACACAGATGCAGCAAAAGTAAAGACCGGCCCCATCTGGAAGAGCAGGGTTTGAAGGCTGATAGAACGATGGAATTGCGGATGACCCTAGGACCTTTGTGTTTCTGCTCCGGAAGGAACTGGTTTCTGCATATGCTCCTCAGACCTTGTTAGGGATATATTGACCACAAAGGACACTGCCCACACCCCCAAAACTATGGTTAGGCACAGATAATTAGGAAGGTGATGCCTGCTGCCAGCTGAAGACTGAACTACGAGAGCCCTGATCATTGAAATTCTTTCTAAATGCACCAACGCAGAAGGCAGAGGCAAACAGGATGACAGAGAGCGAGCAGACAGCCAAGTACTGACATACATGCTGTGAGGACAGACATAGCTGGACTACAGAGGCAGAGCCTTGCATGTGTGTACACTCCAACTGGCCTGTCTGGGACCAAGTCCTTCTCTTTCCCCCCTTCCATTAATTCTCCAAAGCAGAACAGCATGCCTCTATTCCCAAACCAGCTGCAGCTGATCTTCGCCAGTCTTTTTTTCTCTCTAGCCTCAGTATCCTGTTCTGGAAAATGGCCGGTAACTGACAGTTTGGGTCACACTCAGGTGTGGCATTGGCCTCAAAAGTACTTTGTTAACTAGCAGGCAAAATGCTTCGGAGGGAGGAACCATCTGGGGAAGAGTCACTGTGCCAGTGTGCTTGATGGAACTGGAGGAGGATGTGGGGTACCTCTGAACTCAGAAGACTGCTAGGCAGTAGGGCCTGTCCCTCCCAACAGAAGCTATCCTGTGCAGAATTGGTTGGGGGCTGAGGGGAGGGGGGGGAGAAGGGAGGCAACAAGGAAAAACTGACCAGAGCCAGAAATAAAGATGAAGCAAAGGACCCTGCTATACCAGCCACCTTGCAGAGCCTATTTTCTCTGCCCTCATCACCAGCAAATTGGGACCCAGAGACAGACTACACTGGGCAAGCACACAGCTTTGGGCACAAGAACTAAGGGTCTTTCCAAAGAAGCCAAGGGTTTCCTCTAGCTCTGGAAGCAAGGCTGGCCCAGCCCCCACTGTGCTGCCAGGGAGATTGAGAATGGGAGGAGGGAGCACTTCCCGAGGAGGGGGCAGATTGAAGGCCCGGCAGGAAGGCTTAGGCATTAGCAGTTGGTTAACCAGCACCTGGAAGGAGCTGCTTCTCCACACGGATGCACACCGGAAGACCACCGAGTCTGATGCTATCTCCCCAAGGGCTTGGGCATGACCTCTGGGCAGCAGAATTCTGGACAGAGAGAGGCAGTGCGGGCCTTTGGATTTCCGCCAGTAAGGGAAGAAGCAGGGGAGCCAGCCCTACCCATCTTGTTTCCCAGTTGCTTTATGACTGAGCCAACGCTTGCACACCTCTCAGTGTGTTGCCCCCAACTCATTTGTTTTCAGGTTCGCTCTGAGTAAAAGCAGACAGGCTCCAGAGCCACTTTGTGCAGGAAAATGCAGTGGAAGACGCTGGAGCCCTGGTGGACTGGAAACTGCTTAAACCCAGTCCCCAAACCTGGAGGAATCGTTGGGGCTGGGACCAGAGCAAGCCGCTTCTCTGTGCGAATTTTGTTGCCGCTTGGGAGGATTACCTCCAACTAGGATATTGACACAAAGAGAAGCTGACCGGCTTGCAGCCCGCTTCGGCTGCCTAAACAAACCTTCCCCAGCGGCCAGGCCACTCGTGGAAGACACGAAGATTCTTGCCCCAGCTTGCCTTCTCTCTAGCCGGGTCTCTGCTGCCTTTGTTAAATAGGGGACCCATGACTAGAGTAGATCCCGACTGGTTGAGGTTAAGCGAGCTTGCAGCCGGCTGCTAGCCACGGAGTTACTCCGCGATCTCCAGTCCACAGAGACCCGAGCTGGGAACCGGAGAGCAGTCTGCCAAAGCCTGGCGCCTTCCCCTGGCAGATTCTACAGCCAACAGAAGGAAAACGCGATTCGTTCCACTTGGAATTTCCTTGAAATCTCCGAATCTAATCCAGCGTTAACTCGCCGTGAGAAGAGCGCTCATCTCACAGGAGGCTGTGTTAATGGGTGAACTGGCCGAATCCCTGCGGGTCAGCCATCAGGGCCCTGCCGGTGCCCGAAATGACCCTGCCGGTCTCCTACACCGCACAGGCTTTCAGAAGGCAGACGCGCCTGCATGGGACTAATTAGCTTCTTTCTTGCTTGCTTTCTTCCTTTCTTTCTTTCCTACTTTCTCCCTCTCTTTTTCTTTCTAGGAGAGAAACCATCTCAAGACAGGCACCCTACAGAGAACGACCCAATGGTGTCTTTAAAGGTCTCTGTCAGTACTGGCCGACTCCTAAACTAAAGTGTAGCTTAGGGACCCGGACTTCGTTTATTTTTTTTTTAATCCCCTCTCCTCGACCCAAGAGACATTTGGAACCCTGGATCAGGTGCACTTTCTTAACTCTCACTTCTTTTCTTCACACATATCGGACCGGTTGGGGCCTCACTTTTCATTCTAAGCATTAGTCTTGGTCAGGTCCATAGCTGAAAAGGGCGCCAACAGAGTTGGGGTTTGGGGCGCTCTCTGAGACTCTCACTGACCTTTGTTAAAACTTCCTGCCCTCCAACTGGCCCAGTTCTGAGCCTTCTATGAGTATGAACCAGGATTCTGAGAATTAGCTTCAGGAGACCAGGAAAGGCTGCAGCTCGCCTACACTACCTCGTTGCTGGAGGCGGGATTTACCGATCAGGCACTTCGGCTTTGGCGGCCAACGCGTTCCGCGTCCGCTACCTAAAAGCCTTGCACTTTGCAAAGTTGTCTATGCAGCTACAGAGGTCCCAAGCCCTCCAGAACTTGTTACCTGCCCCGTAGTCCGACACCCCCAACCCGACCCCGGCCGGAGAGTGAGAGAAGCGAGCTCGCCGCCTACTTACTATGCATGGATGCAAACGGGTCGTGCTTACAGTGTATTTCCATCGGGGCGCTCCAGACTGCAGGTCGGCCCACGCCGTTGCCTCTCGGCGCCAAAGAGCTGCTCAGGGAACCTAGGGACCCGCCCCACCAGGCCAGGCACCCTGTGAGGTGGGCTCAGAAAACACCTCTGCAGCCGTGGGGTCCCTCTCCAAGCCTCTTGCGGAAGATCGCGGAGAGCTGAGCCGAGAGGCGGGAAACGGTGCTCAGGCAGTCGGTCTGGGAGCGGGCGCCCAACTCCAGCTAGCTTCGCTCCTCCGCGGGCTCAAGCGGCGCCTCCCGGCCCACACCCGAGAAGCAGAGGCCCAGGCGCCCGCGGCGTCGAGGGCATAGCGCAGGGGCCCACCTCCGGGACAGCTAGGGGCGCTCGGCGCCGGAGCAGAAGCCTGCAAGAGGCCGCGAGCACACGGCCCTTCGCCTCACTCCGGGGCAGAGAGGCTAGCGAGCTGCCAGGCTGCTTCGGTCACGCTGCTTCGAGGGTCTGTCCACCCCTCGGCCTCCGCCAGATCCTTCCTGTCTCCCGCTGCTTGTGTCTCTGGGGCTGAACGTGCCCCTCCGCCTCTCTCCCGCCGGCTCTCCGACGTCTCCGACGAAGTTGTAGAAGAACTCCCTCTCCAGCCGCGCAGGGACCGCGGCGGATTCTAAGACGCTACCGCTACTAAGGCTGGGAGCCCGGAGCGCCCCGAAACTGCAACCCTCAAAGCCCGGGACCCGCCGCCTTCAAAGTTCCCGCGGGCCCCGAGGCTCCCGGCCCATTCGCTCCTGGCTGTGCCCTCACGCTACCAACTCTTGGAGCCCCGCTGCCCGCTCCTGGGGGTCCGGTTGGACTATCCCTGGCTTGCCTCTTCCGGGACAGCCACCGCGTCTGCCGAGCGGTGAGCAAGGGGCGCAGGAGAGGAAGCGGGTCCCTGCCGCCGGGAACGCCGGGGCCGCCAGGGCTGTCGGTGCTGAGATGAAGCCCCTGCCGGCTCTAATGCCCGTGCTGCTACCGCCGCTGCCGGCGTTAGCCCTCCGCCTGCTCGGCGCGCACAGTGCGCCACCGCGCCGCCCCGGAGCCGCTTTCAGGACCCGCTGCGTGTGGACAGCGCCGCCCGGGGCTCAGCCTCCCTCCGGGCGGGGGCGGGGCGGGAGCTCACCTGCCAATCACGCCTCACCAAGCCAATCAGAACGGGGGCATCCGGCCCTAGCCCGAAGTACTGCCCTATTGGCTAAACAACCCACGGACTCCGCCTGATTAGCCGGTACCTGGGCAATGGGAGAGAATGGGGGGCGGGGCCCAAGCGGCGGCGCCACGTTCATTGACAAACGCGTGGGGAGAAGGCCTAGTGTGGATCGCGGACGGAACATGGGGAGAGACAGAACAGGGCCCACTCAGTGTCTGGAGAGCCCAGCTCTTGATCCCACAAAACCAACCTTTCTGCAGTTGGGATTCTGGGATTGAGAATGAGAGAGTGAGGGCAACCAAGACAGGGACGAAGGGTGAGGATGAAAGAGAAGTCTCCTGAAGGAAAAAAGAAAGAAAAGCACCCACAGTTATTGGAGGAAGTCCTGTAGCGCAGTAGAGATTCGGCTTTCCGTCTAGGTGGAGGAGTTACGTGTGTATACCTGCCGCTTCAGACTCACTTTGCGCCTCGGTAAAATGGCCAGTTTAGTGAAGGAGTCTTTGATGCTGATTCCTTCCAATGGAAAAATTTCCTAATTTTATCAAGAATCTACTAAGTGACGGCGGCCATCTCCTCTGTATCCCCCCCCACCCCGCTTTCTCGGTCTCTCCAGAGTCCCCAGTGCTGCGTTAACCAAAGGCAGAGCCGGGGGAATATTACTTTGAGGTTTCCAGAAACTGGGCAGTCTCGAAAACTTGGACCAGGTTGTCTCAAGCAACAGAGCCATAGATCCTTTTTGCAGTCTCAGCCTAGGAGCTGATAGGTCCCTTGGGAGCTGGTGATACGCTCAGCTCAAAGCTTCTGTCAACAAGAGGATTTCCGCATCTGGTGCAAGGCCTCCTTTAAAACGGAAGGCGTGCACTGGCATCCCGCGCTAATGAGAGCACCTGAAACCCGCGACTCTGTGGTTGCTTCTGTTTACAAGCGCCTGGCAGTGTGGCACCAAGATGGCTACAAACGCTGCAGTTTCCAATCGCCAGGAAAAGCTGATCTTCCCTCGCCATAGCTCCTGTCGACTTTAGAACAAAATAAGAGTTCCAGCGAAATTCTGCTGAGCCAGCAAAGTTCTTTAACCAGCCCATGGCTCAGGTTCTCAGGAGTGTAAGGCTCTCAGACTGTAATCAAAGCTGCTGGACTTTTTTTTTTTTTTTAAATGAAGTATTTTCATTCAAGCAGCTGTCCTTCCGTGAGCCCCCTAGTGTGCTCAGATCCAACACAGACACTGAACATCCCCCTGCCCCAGCAATTGTGGGAGTGTAGACTAAACACTCACCCCTTTGAATCATAAACATAAATCCACCTGAACAAGGACACTGAGATGTCTGCTTCAGTCATAACACAGAGGGAATAGAGCTCAAGCTGATCTTTGGAGGACCCTCGGGCCATTTTTCTTATTTACTTTCTGCCTGAATTTTTCCTCATTGTCCAGTCTTTTCCCCCCTTGCTCCAATTCTAACATCTCTATACTAGGTCGATCCTTGGGTCCACTCTCTATAGCTGTCTTGGTCACAGCTGCTTAGTACAAGTAGATAAGTTTCCCCTTGCTGACTCCACCCCCACCCCCACTGGGCCACAGCTGCAGGAAAACGGCCAAGGCCAGTCTCTGGGGACTCCTAAGGCTGTGGTGTGCAAGGTGGTGGGTGGTAGCTTTCTCTCTCCATCATCTGAACCCCTCCCAGTCCTGATCCTTTGCCCCCACATCCACCTCTGCCTTAGGGCAGAAAGGTTACAACAGGAAAAAGACTGGTGGCCTAGGGTTCCTTTGCCTATATCCTGTAGTTCCCCAAGAATCACTTCCAGGCCAGGTATGGGACTCTTAATTCCGACTAGTGAGTTCAAGAGTGCTGCCCCAGAGAAGTAGTCAGTGATACCTCATGCTCCTAACCATGCTCCTTGAGCTTCATAACTCAGATCTAGGATCTTAAAACTGAAAGGGTTCTGGGGCAATGTCCCCCCCTCTCTCTCACACACACACTTTATAGATGTGGAACATGAGGGTAGGAAGCAGGATACAATTTATCTGAGGTCATACTAGAGCAAGTCTGGGACAGAGGGAAGGCTGGAAGGGGAGGTGATGTCAAACCAAATAATTCATCTGGACAACCCCTGAAGGGGCCAGGGGTCCTGTATTGTTTGGACAGAATCCCCAGGGTACACTGAGGGCAGGGTGAAACTGCAGATAGCATTCTAACAGGAACAGCCCAGATTCCCCCTTTTACAGGCAGTGATGTTCATCGGCAGATCTGCAGGGATGTGTTCTCCTCTGTGGAACCCAGCCTAACCAGTGAAGGAAGGTAGCCCCTCCCTATACTTAGTGATCTTGGGTCAGAGGAAATTTCCTTCTGAGTGGGTTTTCTTGTCACTCCTGGAGTACCTGGGCTCTGAGAACTTCAAATCCCCAAAGAAGTGAAGAGTCCTGATATGACCACCCAGTCCATCCTTACAGGCTGCCAAGCAGTGGCCCAGAGACGTTCAATGACCAGTCTGAGGTCACACAGCTATTCCCTAATAGAGCTCTGCTTCCATGCCTCACTTTTGCTTTCATCTGCAGACTGCGTCCAGGAAGGACTAGCAGAGAGCTACACAGAGGGCATAGACCTATGGAACCAAACCACCACAGTGGTGGTGGGGGATGGGGACAAAACAAACAAAATGCACAATGTATTTCAATTAATTAATTAATTGCTTTGGCAAGTTTTGCCTGTTGGAAGAATGGCCATTTTGAGAGTATTTCAGAAGCCAAAACACCTTCGAAGAGAGGGCATGTATCTAATTCTCTCTGCACTTGGAGACTTTACTTGATGGGGGCCGCATGCCGCCCCCAACCCCTCCCCAGCTCCCCATCACTCCCTCCAGCCTTCAGAAAGTCAAGTCCTCGGCACACTGGTGCTGCTATGGAGTTCTAGCCCGAGAGTGACTCTTGCAGCTCAATCCCAGCCCATTTGCCTGCTCTTTCTTCCAATAAAGCAAGATCTTTGAAGACTCAGACCTGATGCACAGTTGGGAAGAATCCGAGCGGCCTGGGCACTGCCGTTCTAACCTGATGGGTTCTTTTTAACCTTTAATTTGAAAAAGTACCAAAGAGGAAAAGCAACTGATCTACAATTGCACAGCAAATGGGGCTTAGAGATGCCCATCTGATTCCTGAAAGTGGATCAAACGTCTGCCCTCCCTGGCCTGAATTACGTTGCAGGAGTCACTGGGGAGGAGAGCATTAAATCAATGCTCACATTTCCTTTGCTGGGGCTTGTCACCCCTACCAGCCTGTCCTTGCAGAGCTGGAGCACCAGGACAAAGTCTCTCTCCCAAGACTTAAGACTTAAGTCCTTTCTCCTAAGGCCTCAGCTTCTAGTGCCTGGAACAGAGAGGACAGGACGCTCTGGAGTGTTTCCCAGAGCTTTATGAGATGCTGTCCCATGCATGGGAAGTGTTATTCTCTCTGCATCTAGACCTAGTCTTGTTTGATGAGCATCATAAGCGCCTGTCCTCTGAACCTCCACCTCCACTTTTCCAAGGAAGGGGGAATCTGTTTAAGTGGCTCCTTGCTATGTGCTGGCCTTGCTTAACATTGGGTTTTGAGTTACAGAGAAGCTAGAAGTGGGGAAGCTGGGTTTTAGAGACAGGATTCTGGAGGAAGAAAAGTTTGGTGGCCCATAAAAGGCCTAGAAGTTGAGGGTCATTTGAGTGCCTGGACAATCCCTCAATCCTCTCCCTCCTCTGTCCTAGGCTGGTTCTCAGAGACTGGCAGAAGGGTACTCTGGCCTGAGCTGTGACTCCACCCCAAGCAGGTGGCTTTTGCCCTAACCCATCAGTAAGGGGTGTGGCTTTTAGGATTGAAGCTCCAAACCCCCCAGGATTACCCCTACACAAACCCCACCTTGCCTAACCGCACAGAAGAGTGAAATGCTTTATTGAT